ATGAATTTGTAGGCTGCCACAAGATCACCTCTCAGCCTTCTCTTGCGAAGGCTGAAGAGATTCAGGTCCATCAGTCTCTCCTTATAGGGCTTTGCCTGCAGGCCCCTAACCATATGAGTGGCTTCCTCTGAACCGTCTCAAGGTTGTCCACATCCCTCTTAAAGTGTGGCCCCCAAAATTGGATAGGTACTCCAACTGCGGCCTGACCAATGCTGCATAGAGGAGAAGTATCACCTCCCTGGACCTGTTCATCATGCACCTGCTAATGCATGATAAAGTGTGTTTAGCTTTACTGATCGCTTCATCACATTGATGACTGATGAGTTGAAACTTAGCAGAGCACGGCCATTTTATTTTCCACAAATCATGTTGTATAAGTATGAGCAGAATTAGGCTGTCACTAACTGAGGACTTACCTGGTCCTTGATAATTTTTAGCTTTGATTTCAAGAGTATTGGTTTTGGACAGTTTTTAGCTATAAGATACAATGTCAGCAAATCTTACTGCCAACACATTTCAATTTGATATATTGTACTTACCAGAATCCAAGATGACTCTGAATTTAAGATGACCCCCACCCCCCATCCACTAATTAGACTCTAGGCATGAAAAAAAATTATTATATTTTTTCTGTGTACAGAATCTAGTTATTAGACGATTGGCTTATATCTGATAGCACATGATCAAACAGCAGTGTAGCAACTGAAACAGAATGAAGTCACAGTTTTTCATGAGAAAATCTATTAAAATTAGCACATAAACATAAATTAAAGTTAACAAAAATATTAAAGTTAAGCATCTGAAGAAAAACTATTAAAGCACATAACTCTGAATATATTTATATAATGAACTCCTCAGAATGATTCCAAATAATTTAAGTGTATAAATCCTATAACTGAGATCTCTGCCATGGTTGAAAGTGTCTGTGTTTATCACTGCTGCCAGACATGGTCCAAGTTGAGAACACCTGTTACAAACTCATCACTTACAGAGTTCCAGTTAACTTACATACCTGCTGGATTTCTGCGTAGCATCAGCCAGTCCTTGCTCACCTTCTCTTTCTGTTTTATCTCTGGGTAATCTCATCTACGAACACAAACTGAGCATCCACTTATGTGCTGAATATTCACAGTTCTCTCTTCTCCAGACTGCTCTTGTTCTATCGGAAATAAAATCTTGGCCTGTTTCACTGCCGTCTTTTAGATGTCTAGCTGTCAGGTCCAACTCAATGTGGCTATAACAGATTTCTTGGGGTTCCCTTTCTCAAGTCTACCCATTCATTTCCTCTATCACAGTAGGTAACACCACTACTCCATCTTTCATATACAGTACGTTCATCATCTGGATGTCATCTTTGATTTGGATTGGTCTCCAGGTCCTTATTTCCAACTTACATCTCCACATTTTATATACTTACTGTGTAGCGGCAAAGATTCAGTCTTTCCCATCGATGCATCTAAAGGTTTCCTCCAGGCTGCCACCTTCTTCCATCTAATTACTAAAACAACTTTTCTCTGGGCTTAACAACTGCAGTCCTGTTCCATGCATATCAATTCAGAATATTACTGTGAAGATCTCTTTTCCAGTCTGTTGGTTTCATCATGGCACCATCCTATTTCATCCTTCCACTCTGCTTTTCCTATTGCATCTGATGTAAACTTGTCTCCACTCTCAACACCCTCCCCCACACATCCCATCACTCATTCAAGACTGAGATGTTAACTCTGGGTTCCAGTATGCTGTTGCTAGCCTCCACATCCCTGTTAAATTTTCAAACAAACACTGCTGTCCTTTCTCCCATGCTGCTTCTCCCATGTGGGAGAAGTTCTCCATAAGTATCTGCAAAGTTACTTCATTGTCCCTGACAAATTTCTCATTAAAACTCTTCTTTGCAGTGAGACCTATGGAAAACTTACTTTAGCATCTGACAAAAGTAGAGCCATCTATGAAAGCTCATGCCTCCTGAACCAGTTAGTCTCTAATGTCACTCTGCTCTGACTTCAGATCAACACAGCTAACCACCTCTCAGAAAATGTAATAGTGCTTAGGCTGCTAATGTAATGATATAATTGACTTTCACCTTGACTAGTACTGTTTCATTGTTTCCTTGAACCCTTCCATCTGTCTGTATTCACTGGTTGTCTCTTGTCTTATATTTGGTATTTATTTTATAGGGTTAGGAATTCTCTTTTTGTTGTGTTAATATAGTACTTAGCAAAATGGGGTCACAATCTGTGACACAAGACCTCAGACAGTACAAGAATGAAATAATTATGATGTAGAAGCTTGAATGCTTGACTGGAAGACAAAATTTATTCATTATAGAAGATGCATGTGCACACTTTCATTCTATTTTCTTATAAATGGGAATGATATTTATAACTCAGGTGTGTTGATTACTTGTATAACTTTACAAAATATACAGTTATTTAGAAAAGTGTTTTGAAGACTTTGGGGCATATACACTGGTCTAATACTAGTGCAACAGAGTAGAGAGGCTAGATAAGCAAGCACATTCTGTCTCAGGGATGTGTATTAGAGTACACATTGTTCCATGACTGACACAGGCTATCTTATGGTTGCGTTATTGGTATAGCTCCCAGGTTGGAAGAAGCTGTAGATGAAAGATGACAAAGTGTTGCATCAGAAAGACCAGGATATGGTAGGCATGGTAGAAAAGGAAAGGTTTGAATTATGATGTTATATTCCAGGACCTTCTGTTATCTAATCATTACAGAAGACTTTGTCTGCCATCTAGCTTAGCCCAGATTTTAAACAGGAAGCTCATTTGTTTTATTTCCAGAAATTTTTAATTGTGTAAAGAATTTTTAAAACTATTTTTCTGAAATGGAATATGTTTCATTCCCTGAAAGTTTGGGAGGAGGGAAAAGACAGAACGTGAGCGTGCAGAGAACTAGGCAGACTTAACCATTTATTTAAAAATCCAATTATAGATCTAAGTAAGCAAGCCATGAATCATTCAGATAATGGTTCCAGAAAGTGAGCAAGCTATCTCGCCGCCTTCTAGGAAGCCTAGTGAGAGTACTGGTCAGTTGTCCATGAATGCATTGGTTTCAACACTTCCCAGAAGCACTCTAAACTTCCCTTTTTATCTATTTGCTTACACACACTTACATCAACAGTGTGACACATTTCTGTCTTACCTTATTTAGTTAAAAAGACAATCGATTATTTCAATAGGATAACTAGCTACAGATAATTAGTTTTTTCTTATCAGAAAGTAAAACATCAAGTTGCTACAGCTGCTACTTTTACCTATTAGCAGTGTTTTCCAAAAATCCATTATCAGCACTTTGGTTAGCTTTAATACCAGTGGCCTTGACTAAGAATATTTTTCTAACTTAAAATTACAAAGTTCTGCTTCCATAAGAACTATTATCAGATGCATTTTGAAAGAGGGCTTCAGGGTCCTTAAATCCACCAGAAGCTTATTTGCTTTCTCAGATAGTTCAGCTTTTGAAAATGCAGTATATTAACATGTTTTTTTAGACATGCAACTCTTTTCCTGCAATATTAATAATAGCTGTCAAGAGTCATCGGGACATCCACAAGTGCTGCTAATTTGAAGTAGGCTTACTGTGCAGTAAAAATACTGTGAGTAAGCCTACAGGGGAGCACATGTGCTCTCTCTGGAGCAGATTTACTCCCATCTTGCTCTGCCCCCCTTCAGAAGCCAGGGGGAGCTCCAGGCTTTCCCCTCCCCCTCATGCTAGCCTGGGGGCTGGCAAGGGGTGGGGTGGTCCCAGTGGGCATGGAGTGAAGAGAGCTCTGCTAGCTGCAGTGGCAGCTCTCCTGGTTTTGTGCATATTGGGAGGGGACCTGATGTGCAGAGCCAGGAGAGAGCTGCCCTGCAGAGCTCTCCTGGGACTGTGCACATCCAGACATACAGCTGTCAGCAAGCCCCCTTCTGGGCAAAAGGTTTGCTGAGAGCTGTCTGGAGTAGCTGTAGGGGAGCTGCCTGCCAGGTGGGGGGTAGAAATGGGGCTCACTGGCAGCTGTCCTCTTTGGCATGGAGCTGGCTGCTCCAGGGAGCGAGTGGCAGCTGGGAATCCAGCCCTAGTTGTCCCCTAGAGCAGCCAGCTCCACACCAGGCAGAGCTGGCTGCTCTGGGGAGCAAAGGGGGTCTGGGAATCCCAGCCTGGGGCAGAGCTGGCTACTCTAGGGGACAAGTGAGGGCTGGATTCCCAGCTCCTGCTCACTCCCAGAGCAGCCAGCTCCACATGAGAGCAGGGACAAGGGATGGAAAGCTCCTCAGTCCTGGCTCTGATCAGCTTCTTGGGGGAGCCAGGGAGCTGAGCGGCACCAGGACCAGAAACAGAGACCTCCCTGTCCCCTGTGGCCCCCTGCTGGCTAGGCTGACCAGGAGCAAATTTGCCTTGACTTTCTGATTCTGTTTAGGCAGTACCTAAAACTCCTGGAACAGATAACTATTTACCATATCTTTTGAAATCCACTTAGAGCATGTTACTACATTGGTAAGTTAAGAGAACTTACATCGTGACTGCTACTTTTCAGGCCAAAACTGTGAGCACCACTGATCTAGGGCAGTGGTACTCAACCTTCCAACCCCATGGAAAGGTTCAGTTCGTGGGCTGGATCCAGTGTAGGGTTGGCTGCAGGTGTGATCTGGTGTTCCAGTCCAGCCCACTGCATCAGATGTGGTTGTGGACAGACCCTGCCCACCAGCCTGGTCTTATGGCTGGATCTGACTGTGGAGCAGCCTTCCATGCCAGCATGATTCAGTGCATGGGGGCATTTCATCGGGCCTTCATGGCTCCTGGTGGGTCCAGAAATTTGGTGGTGGGGGATGGTGGCAGGGTCTCTAACAGACAGCCCAGCTTGGGATAATTGCCTAGTGGGCCAAATCTGACGGAGGTTTTGACTGGCAGCCCTTCACCAGCTAACTATTCCAGCTGGCCATTAGGCCTGTACGAAGGCAACATCTTCATCGGTGACTTGGGAGAGCGGTAAAAAGCACCCTGTTCAAATTTGCTGACGACATTAAGATGCGGGGGGATGTGGGCACGCGAGATGGGAGGAATAGGCTGCAATCAGACCTAGACAGGTTACAGGGGTGGGCGGGTGAGAACAGGATGGGTTTCAACACTGACAGGTGCAGGGTAATGCACCTGGGGAGGAAGAACCAGCAGCATACCTACAGGCTGGGGAACTCCCTTCTTGTCAGTGCAGAGGCAGAAAAAGATCTTGGAGTCATCATTGATGCCAAGATGAACATGGGCTGGCAGTGTGGGGATGTAGTCAGGAAGGCCAACCATACCTTGTCATGCATCCACAGATGCATCTCAAGCAGGTCCAAGGAGGTGATACTCCCCCTCTATGTGACACTGGTCAGGCCACAGCTGGAGTACTGCGTCCAGTTCTGGGCGCCGCACTTCAGGAGGGATGTGGACAACATGGAGAGGGTCCAGAGGAGGGCCACTCGCATGATCAGGGGGCAGCAGGTCAGGCCCTATGAGGAGAGGCTAAGGGACTTGAACCTGTTCAGCCTCCATAAGAGAAAGCTGAGGAGGGATCTAGTGGCCTGTTACAAACTTGTCAGAGGGGACCAGCAGGACACTGGGGGAGTCCCTGTTCCCCCGAGCACTCCCAGGAGTGACTAGAAATAACGGTCACAAGCTGGCAGAGGGTAGATTCAGACTAGACATCAGGGGGCGTTACTTCACTGTCAGGGCGGCTAGGATCTGGAACCAACTTCCAAGCGAAGGGGTGCTGGCTTCTACCCTGGGGGTCTTTAAGATGAAGCTAGACGAACACCTTGCTAGGGTTGTTTGACCCCAGTACTTTTTCCTGCCAAGGCAGGGGGCTGGACTTGATGATCTGCTCAGGTCCCTTCTGACCCTACAAACTATGAAACTGTGAAGGGGCTAGTATTTGCTTCAGATTTGGATTCGGATTTGGCTGATTCAGGGGACAGTGATTCAATTTGGTGATTTGAAGAACTGTCCCGAGTTGATTTGGCTGAATCTGATTCAGAGATTTAGCTGCTGCCGAATCTCTGAATCACCCAAGCGAGGCCCACCCACTGCCCACTGTCCCAGCCTGGTAATGACTGCTCCTGCCCTAGCTCCTGGCACTTTAAAAAAAAAAAGCCCTGATTCACCAGGTGCTGCTGGGTAGGGGAGCAATCCCTACTGCCTCCCATTGCTCCACGCTGCATGGGGGGGTCCTGCATGAGCCCCCAACTCCCCCTGCTGTCTCAGCCCCCCCATGGCTGCCCTGCCCACCCCAGCTTTGGCCCTTTAAGATAACCCCCCCCCCAAACCTGACGTATTGTTCCTGCCTGGCAGGGGGCAATCCTCGCTGCCCTGTGTCATGTGGGGGGCTCTGCATGACTCCCCCGAAGCCCAGAGGCTGCTGCAGGAGTGGAAACTCCTGGGCTTTTTCTCTTTCTTTTTTTTTCTTAAAGGGCCAGAGCTGGGCCAGGTGGGGAAGCCATGGCGGGGTGGGGGAGCGAGCAGAGCCCCTCATCCAGTGTGAGGCAGTGGGGAGCAGCAGGGATTGCCCTCCCTGCCTGGCAGCATGTGGTGAGTGGGACTTTTTTTTAAAGCACCGGGAGCTGGGGTGGGCAGGGGCTGGGGGAGCGGGAGGGGATGGGGCCTAGCAGGGGTCCCTCCATGGTCCCCTCCCCCCTCTTCCAGCCTCCCTCCCATGCCCCCTACTTACCAGCACAGAGTCCAGCTGCAGCTCCCTGCTGCAGTGGGCGGGGACTGGCTGAATCATCAAAGCTCTCCAAATCTTTTCCAAAGACTCGGAGAGCTTTGAATCAATTCAGACCTTTTTTTGGTCCCCTGATTTGATCTGGATTTGAAGATTCAGCTACCGAATCAGACCGAATCTCCTCCAAATCGAATCAGCACCTGAAGCTTCACACAGCCCTACTGGCCATCCCCTGGGTCTCCTGACTGGCTGTTGGGAGAGAACCTTCCCCATATAATTGTAACTGTGCAACAGACTCCAGACCAGCCAACAGTTCTTGCTGAAGGCCTGCCCTGGCAAGCCACTGCAATCTAGTTCACCTGGTGTCCTGACCCTGGTTTCTGGATTTTCCCTTGGGTTTAGTAATTTGGCCTATGACTCTTGAACTTCAGCTCAGTTTGTGATTTTGACTTTCCCCCTAGATTCCTCCTGGATTTGGTAACTTGGTATCTGTTTCCTAATCCTGGATTGAGCCTATGTTATGAATTCTGCCCCTATGTCTGGCCCTCCTGGTGGCCTAACCACTAGGCCAGCAGTCCATCACCTGATCCATTATAGGGCCAGAGGTTAAGTACCACTGAGCTACAGTTATTCAACCACAATGACACTTGCACAGTGTACACTTAGAATTCTAGCCCCTATCCTCCTTTAAGAGGCTAGTAAAGCGACCAAAACGCTGGCTTGCATCCATAGATGCTTCTCAAGCAAATCCCAGGATGTCCTTCTCCCCCTGTACTCAGCCTTGGTGAGGATGCAGCTGGAGTATTGCATCCAGTTTTGGGCTCCACAATTCAAAAAGGATGTGGAGAAGCTTGAGAGAGTCCAGAGAAGAGGCACGCGCATGATCAGAAGTCAGGAAAACAGAACTTACGATGACAGGCTGAGAGCCATGGGGCTCTTTAGCCTGGAAAAGGGCAGGCTCAGGGGTGATCTGATGGCTGCCTATAAGTTTATCAGGGGTGACCACCAGTATCTGGGGGAGTGTTTGACCAGAGCGCCCCAAGGGATGACGAGGTCGAATGGTTATAAACTACTGCAAGACCGTTTCAGGCTGGACATAAGGAAGAATTTCTTTACTGTCCGAGCCCCCACGGTCTGGAACAGCCTGCCATTGGAGGTGGTTCAAGCACCTACATTGAACACCTTCAAGAGCAAATTGGATTGCTTATCTTGCTGGGATCCTATGACCCCAGCTGACTTCCTGCCCTTTGGGTGGGGGTCTGGACTCGATGATCTTCCAAGGTCCCTTCCAGCCCTAATGTCTATGAAATCTATGAAAGAAGTTCTAAATTAAGTGATCCAATGAATGGATTTGAAGCATCTTTAAGGATGTGCTTTTTTGGTAAATAGATCTGTATGTCTAAATGACAACCTGTTGTTGGCCGTATGAGAGGTTCCCATCATGCTGAACATGTAACCATAGAGGCAGAATGGTGACTCAACATACTGTATGAATTAAGAGATGACGTAAAGCAGCTGCCCTATTAAAATGAAAACAAATCTCCATGTATTCATTTATATCTGCTTACTCCTTGTTGGATACTTTTCTGTTAATTCCATCCTTCCCCTCTTTGATATGCAAATTATATTTGTATCTGCCTGTGGCTCGATGGGTTAAATTAATCTTTTTATCATGCATAATGCATCTGTTTATGTTCATTTCAAGCCCTTGATGAGATCATCTGATGAACAGCACACCTACATATGTAGACTAACTTAAGTAACTTCATAATTCTGTTTCTGAATGAATGAGAATATACAAATTTTGAGTACTCTCCTCTGGCAGTCCACAATAAAACGTTAAAAATGGAACCAAAAAAGCCATATTACTAATAACAAGGAACTATTTTAGATATCTCTTGATGGTGCATCCCACCAGGAAGTTTTGTAATTATGAGGTCAAGGCCCACAGGAGAATTTGAAAGTGGCTTAATATTTCTTTGCTTTCCTTGTGGAAATTATAAATACTACCTTAACTCTGCCTCCTGTCATGGTGAAAGCACACATAATCAGAGCAGATTTTCCTTCGTGCCAGCATCCTTTCTCCTTCAACTTTATAGTGCTCTATGAAAAGTTTCTAAAAAAAGGTTTTTACTGGGGAAAACTAAGAGACATGCACATATAACTTTCCATGGGATTTTAATATTTATATTTAATATTGGTGTTTTAAATTAAGGCTTTGTTCACTCACCACTTCCTTAAAACTTTAGGATTTACAGCCTCTCTGCACTACTTGGGCATTTTAAAGGGTGCCTTAAAAGAGAAGTGAAATATATTTCCACCCACTTCAAGTCTCACTTTGCTCCTTCAGCAAAATAAAGCAGTACTAATGTAATTGAGAGTCAGGCTCATAAATTAATGTTGGACTTATAAGACTGATTTTTAGAAACAGTTTGTATTATAAGCAGTTGTATTATAAAATAATTAACATTAGCTGCTTCATGCTGTGGGAGATGGGAGGAAGGAGGGATCCCTGCTTGACCGATGAGGGTGCAGGGCCAGGGGGAAGCCAGGCAGACACTGCTATGCCTGCAGTCTCTGCCTGAGCTCTGGCTAGGGAGCAGAGAGGTAGGGCCAGCCCTGCTGTCTGGAGCAGACAGTATAGCCCAGCCCAGGGCTACAAAGCTGGGGGCTGGAGTACTCTGGTAATTTAATTTAATTTAATTTAAACCAGAAAGGGGTCTGGGACAGACACTGCATAAGCCAGTTTGACCCAGATCAGTTAAGTCTGGTACTACATTCAGCCAGGTTTATTAAACTAGTTTCAGCCATTTTGAAACTGGTTTATGTGCACTGAACTTATGTTCTGTTACAGGTTTAAACCAGTTTCTGATCACTTAAACTGGTTTATGTGTACTGTCTGTCCCTAGCCTGAATGCCCAGAATTTAGGGAGGCAAATGAGGTACGGGAGGAGCAAGGTTTTTTTGGGTTGTTTTTTTTATGATTGCAACATTTGTCAAGGAAAAAAACCCCAACACAACATTACCAGACTCTCATATACACCAACTATATATATATATATA